GCTCTTCTTCTTCTTCGTCTTCTCCTTCTACTGTTGAGGTACGAGAGAGAGATAGGACTCCTTTCTTCGTCTTCTTCCTTTCTCTTTCCTGTCCTCCATCGCCCCTCCTCCTTTCCCTTTGGGAGCTCTTCTTCTTCTTCTCCTTCTAAAGTTGAGGTACGAGAGGGAGAGAGAGAGAGAGAGAGAGAGAGAGAGAGAGAGAGAGAGAGAGAGAGAGAGAGAGAGAGAGAGAGAGAGAGAGATGACATGGAGACTTGGTGACATTCGGGCATTCCCCAGTTCTGTTGCCGGGCTAGTTTTGGGCTTTGACCATGGGCTGCAGCTGTTAGCCCTCCTCGGGTACAGTCAAGACGTCGCTCGCCCGCTCCTCGCAACCTCTGGCAACCAACACCAACCCACTCGTCACTTTTTGCTTGCCACAGTCCGTCGAGCCAATCCCCCTCCAACTCCCCACTGGTCCCCTTTTCTCCTACAGTGTGAGCCCGAATACCCAACCAAAGACGCGAACAGCCCGAACGATCGTGCCGACTGAGGGAAACGACTCGACAACAAACTGCAGAGTCTGGTTGCACAACAGAAACAAGCCTTGGCGAACATCCGCCCCGCGTCGCTGCACGAGCTTTCGGCCCCCCCGAAGCCTGAGCGCCCAAGCCAAGGCACAAATGCCTCAAACAATAGAGCTCAATGGGAAGAAGGGACTCGACGACCAATGTTTTTCGTCCCTAAATCAAAATGCTCAGAGGCAAGCACAGATAACAGCTAGGGAATCAGCAACCACAATTTTTTACCCGGTGGTCGGAACACACGAAAAGGAAACTCAATCGCGAATCCGAAAAGGAAACTCAATCGCAAATTTTTACCCACCAGTCTGAACGCACACACGAAAAAGAAACTTAATCGCGTGTTTTCACCCGGCGGTCCAAACACACAGACGAAAAGGAAACTCGATCGCGCGTTTTCACCCGGTGGTCCGAACACACAGACGAAAAGGAAACTCGATCGCGCGTTTTCACAGATGAAAAAGAAACTCAATCGCGCGTTTTCACCCGGTGGTCCGAACACACAGATGAAAAGGAAACTCGATCGCGCGTTTTCACAGATGAAAAAGAAACTCAATCGCGCGTTTTCACCTGGCGGTCTGTACACACAAACGAAAAAGGAACTCAATCGGGCGTTTTCACAAACGAAAGAGAAACTCGATTGCGCTTTTTCACTCAGCGGTCTGAACACTCGATCAAAAAGGAAACTCAATGATTATCACGCATTATCCCCCAATGGTCTGAACACTCGAGTCCGAAAACGGATGCACCGAAGCTGCCAGTCCTCCACCACCTGTCGAAGCTGCTCGGCTTACTCCCTGACCTTTCCCAGAGTTCCCTAGAGCCAAGTCTTTCAGCGAGCATCGCTGTTTTGGCTCTGCAGTTGCCCTCCCGGTCCGCCATAGACTCACGGCCTACAACCGCTTCGATCCCGCTGCGCGCTCGTTCCAGCTTTCAGATCCTCTCACGCCCCCCTCTCGTTCTCTTTCCCTCTCTCTCTCTCTTTCTTTCTCTCTCTTGATCACAGCCATGCGCCATCCTTTCTTTCTTTTTGTCGCGCGCTGCTTTGGCTAGCCAGTCGTTTTTCAGCCGGCTGTTCTAAGCAGGCGTGCCATGCCGAGTGCTTGCGATGATACGACTGGCCCCTCAGGCACCCATCCTTCCCTTGCCCTGTATCTTCCGCTTCACTTACCCTCTCTGCCTGCGCCCATCGAATGAGGTCAAGCGCTCTCGCGCATCGTGCCTTCTTTCCGAGGGGCCTCGCACCGTTCCTAGCGTCGCTTGGACGGAGCTGACTTGCTCTCCCACTCGCTTCCGCGCGGCCGAGACACCTTTCTGCGTGCTCGCTCGCCTCCTGGTTCGAATTCAGCAAGCTCCTTCCAACACGTGTCCTTTGTTTTGCCATCCTAGCTCAACAGCGCTCCGCCTCGCAGTTCGAGCTCGACAGGAGCTCCCCCGATGCGCTTTCTCCGTTTCGCAGTTCGAACTCAATAGTGGCGCGTGCTTGGGCTCAACAGGAGCTCCCTCCGATGCGCTTTCTCCGTTTCATAGTTTGCACTCAACAGTAGCTCCCTCCTGCGTGCGTGTTCAGCTTCGCTGCTTGGGCTCGACAAGAGCTCCCTCCAATGTGCTTTCTCCGTTTCGTAGTTCGCACTCAACAGTAGCTCCCTCCTGCGCGCGTGTTCAGCGTCGCTGCTTGAGCTCGACAGGTGGTCCCTCCAATGCGCATTCTCCCTCTTTCTTCCCCGCGTCCCGGCGCTGCGGTTGTTGGCCAGCGCTCGAGCGCTATCGCGATCTTTCGTGCACTCCTAATGCCCCCTTACGTGTGCGCAGAACTCTCTCTCTCGGTCTCTCACCCGCTGGTGCGAACCGCCGCACTGCCGAGCGTGGTGTTCGCAATCGGACGCGAACCCATGCAAGTCGAAAATTATGTGCGCCCCCCTCTCTTCTCTCTTCCTTCTCCTTATATACTCATCGTCCCTTTTCCAGCTCCCCTCGTATCGATCCTCCCTCTCCTCCTTCCTCCAATCATTCCTCCTCTTCTGTCACCTTTCAAGTTCTCCACGATCTCCCGCCAGTATTTCGTCAAGACATCTCCCGCCCGTTCCCTTCATTACTCATTCTCCTACCCAAGTTTCCCTTCCCAAGGCGCCAGTTTCAAATTTCTCGAATTTTTGGTCTGCCCGCCTGATCGGCCGTTGTCTCTCCCTTAATCCGCTCGTGCCAACCCTTTCTCCAATTACATTCCTACCACGTCTCTCTCGAAGGACCCCGGGGTGCGCTCTTCTTCGCCTTACATTCCCAACTGTCAGGTCCAATTTCCGAATTCCCGCCGGGCAGTTGACATCCGTACCTCTGGCAGTTACCAAGAACTTTCCTCCCGACTGTTCGTGTTCCGGCGGATCCTCCGAAGATTGAACTCCCCCCATATTTCCCAGCTCTCCCAGACTGATCCTCGCTATGCTACCCTCCTCCAATCGGGGATTTCCCCAGTTCCTCTTCTCTTCTCGCTTCCCCGTTCCACTTTCCCGCTTCGCTTCTTCACCACCTCTGCAAGAAACAGTTGGCGCTTCGCATTTTCCTGCGGCCAGACCTTGGCCCTTAACTGGCGGTTTTGGCCTCGCACACATTTCTCCTCCCTCGGTCCACATTCTCCGGCGCTGACGCCGTGCATTGTGCGTTGCTGCCTAGAGAGTGATATCTGAGCATGCCAGGCGCGTCCACCCCAGTTTCCCAGTCTTTGATCGTCCCTTCCCAACACAGTCCTATCCTTTTGATCTGCTTCCCTTCCTCTTCTCAGGGTGGCGTCGCCAATTGCGGCTGACCTGCCGATCATTGGAGCTAGCACCGAGCAATCCACCTAGCCGTAGTAAGTACCCAAAACCTCGATCATACCGGCTTGAGCATCCCCCCGACGCGGCCACTTTCATACCGAGCCGACTACTCCGAAGTTGACTTCACCGAGCAACCTTCTTACCGAACTCTTCGCATCTGATCCTGCTTTCCTCCAAGGTGTCCTTGCTCCGCCAAAATCTTATGTTTTCTCGTCCGCGTCCAACCCCACTTGCAACCACCGATGCGGGTGCTTCCCCCGTTTATCCCAAGGTTAGTACGGAACCCCAGAAAATCAAGATCATGCCCAACCGACATACAGTCACAAGCACTCATCTCTCAAACAAGAAAAAAAAAAAAGAAAAACCAGCTCGAAATTTCATATTCTTGGGGAAAAAAACATTCGGCTGGTAGGCAGCCGCCCGACACCGTGACATTGCGAGTTGACATTGTATGAGCAGCGGCATTGGGGACACATTGGAGACTGGGTTCATCGGGCTATGGTGACTGATCCTCCCTATCTCCCTCTTCCCCCTTCGTCTTTTCTCCCTCTTTCGTCGGTGTATGACCGGACTCAGCACATCCTCCTATGATCACGTGCTGAGTACCCTACACTCTGAGCGATGATGTGTGCTGTCAGGTCCTCTCATTGTCCACGCTGAGTCAGATCTTGGTATTACAGTCTTCCGCTGTGCTATTTTTGTATTGTCTCTGAGAGGTCAGTTCTCAGTACTGATCGTTGCCGATTAGGCATGCGACAACATCAGTCCGGTTCCTATTCCACCCAATCCCCAGTTCAAAATCCCCAGTACCAAACCAATTGTTTTGGCAGTTAGACACCCTTAGATGAAAGAGTGCTATTTCAAGCTTGTTAGTCACTGATGACCACCTCCCGGCTATCCTACACATTCAATCAAGGTTGTGAATGCAAAGCTATAGTTAAGGCACACGGGCCTGTCTGGGCTCAAATAAAATTTCACTATATGCGGGTATGTGCTCTGACGATACAGGTACATTTCAGTTCAACTCACTGAAATGCAATGGGCATAATCGGCAGGAAACCAACATATGTTTGTGTAGTTCCAATCCCCTGTTCTAGCCCCCAGTTCCAAATCCAAGTTCCACTTGTGACGTCCAACCCCCAGCTCCCCTCAATTGCAATCCCTAGTTCCAATTCCCAGTTCTAACTAACTCGTCAACAGGCTGGGAAAGCTGAAGAGAGAACAGACAGTAACTGGTTGATTGGCACTGTTGCGGGGCTGTTTGGCAGGCACACTTTGGCAAAGTTGAAGTTCCATTGTTGTCCAGTTCTGTCACTTGCTCATGCATGTCATCAGATTTGCAATGATCAGCACCAGCAGATCCAAGGTTCTGTGGCCAGTGGTGAGTGTACTGTTCCTACCTCACTTCCCAAATGGAAGAGATTTGTTTATCTTTGAGAATCTTCAACTGTATGCTGGTGTGTCGCTTGGTTCTCAGCTAATGAAGCACTGTGCAGTCAGGACATTCCCAAACAAAGAACTAAACATAAGTGCCCTTCAAACTACCGTCTCCCCTTGAAATAGAAGGCAAGCTAGCATGGTCATGATAGCTCTGTCGGGCTTGAAAGTTACCTCAAGTCTCGCTATGATGACCATGCCCTTCTCACCAGGGGAAGATCGTAGTTTGCGCCATTTGTTTCTGAGTCTATTTCCTTTTTCAGATTTTTGTCTGGGCTGGGACATTGTCGTTCCGGATCTATTGATAAAGAAAGCCCAACTTCTCGCCTTCAATCATCAATTCCATGACAATGTAGTTGCCCTACTGCAGTATGACCGCCCTACTCTCCTTCCTGCTACCTCTACACACGCTAGCCTCTACCACCTCAGGTTCTGTCCACATGGAGAGAGAGAGAGAGACAGAGGGAGGGAGGGAGAGGGAGAGGAATTTCTTCTTCTGCTGCTGCTCCTTCTCCTCCCCTCCATATCAGCCGCCTCCTTCTTGACTCCAGGTAGAGATAAGACATGGCAACTATTTCAGGAAGATTTCTCCCAGGTTCAGACTCGGCATTGCACTGATAGACGCTTGTGGGTGCAGGAAGGCTGTCAGCGGTTTGACTACCGTGTTCTGGACTACCTCTCTCAGCTTCTCTCAAATTTCGTCCTCCTCTTCTTGCCTCACCATCTATCGTTATCTCACACTGTGTGTGTGTTGGCAGGGGGAACGTTTGTCTTTGTATGGTTCCCCTCCTGGCTGTTTTGAGTCATGATGGTGAGTGCATAGTCTGTATCCGAGTCATATGAGTCAGGTTGATTCTTATCAGACTTCTTCTGCACAGAATTTATGCTCTCTATCCACTTTGGTGATTCCTTGGTTCTGCTCATTGCCTATCTGTTGATAGACATGCATCATATGCCTGTGTGTAGACAGGAAAATGGTTTCTGGCTCCAGTGCATCACTCTTAGGGGGTCAGTGCATCACCCTTTAGGAGGTTATTCAAGGAACAGCAGATCTTCATGGTATTGGTTTCTTTGGTTGTTGTTTGGGTTGTGCATGCATGGATGGATTTGATTGATGGGGTGTCGAATCTGTCAATGATGATCGAGTTTCTCCAGACATAAGAGATAGTTTGACTTCGGAGGTCAGGAGAACGGCGTATCTGGTCTTCAGTGGTGCAACAGATGGGACAATCGCGGTATGGGACGTGACAAAGGAAGTCCGTTGGTTTGCAGACAATTTCCAGGACCTGGTGCTCCTCAAGGGCACGTTGGTAGCACCCAGACCAGTGAGTGGAAGGGGAAGTGGAGGTGGGGGTGGACGACGGAGGGTCATGAGGCTGGACAGTGTCGGGGAATCGACTGCAGCAGGCAGCAATGTAGGAAAAAGACATAGAAAGAACAAAGGCAAGCTCCGTGATGGAAATGGCTTTAGCGAGTCTACGCCGATTCTCACTGAAGGTCGCATGGAGTTTCATTCGACAAAAGCTGAACAAATCAGCATAGGAGGTCGAGAAAAAGCCTGTGAGGAAGGACCGACTATGTCAGCTGGCTTTGCAGAAACAAGCGCTGAGAAACCAGCAGAGATTCCAAACTCTGAGAGACCAAATGTGGATCCTAGGTGCTTGTGCTGTAGCGACAGCAAAGAGTGCATTGAAGAGCTTTTGAGGAGTTCCATTGAAGAGCAAAGCAAGGATAACGAGGAGGACGGAGAAGCAGAGATCAGAATGCAAAGAGTGCAGCTTGTGAAGAAGGTGCCAGCAGTTGTGCTGCCCGTTTCTGTGATATCTAGAGCCCATCAGTCTGGTGTCAATTGCCTCTCTCTTGGGTGTTGCAACAGAAGTGATGGAAGGAAGCAGGAGAGGAGAACACACTGCACCTTTGGATATGGCAGTCTTGACAGCAAGGCGGTCCACAGAATGCTTGAGAACCGTTCTGCACTTGCGCAATTGGCAGTTGAGGGAGCAGTGAAGCAAAGCTGCAAGGCCCTTGAGCAAGATGCAGACGACAGGGTTTACATGCTTGTTACAGGGGGTGACGATCAGGCGATACATGTGGCGTGTTTCCGTTGCGAGTTCACCAGCTATGCTGAACAGGGAAACGTCTCCTGGTGGGAATCAGATGGCTATGACGAAAGAGCTGGAACAAGCAGCACAGTTGCACACAAAAATCGATCTTCTGATGAGGAGCTCTCTTACAAAGACGGACAACAGGAAGGAAGGAGCAGTGGCAAAATAACATGTGCAAGTTCAACAATCATCAAAAGCAAGAAAATTACTCAGGAGGAAGAAGAGCTGACGTCCGGTTCATCTGAAGGTCTCTTCGTGAAAGTAGTCTTCTTGGGGCAGGATATGCTTACCGAAGCTCATTCTTCAGCATTGAAAGGTCGGCCCCTCTAACTCTAGGAATATCTATCCTCTAAAGATTGCAAATTTTTCCTGAAGTGAAATTTGAAACCTGTTTTGTTTATGAGTTTATGTTCGCAGGCTCAACTTTATTGTGTTCAACTGCTTCCATGTGCGATCTGTGTATACGAGTGGAAGCTGACTCTTTTCTCTTTCTTACGTTAATGGGGATTAGCACCTAACTTTATTGTGTTCAACTACTTCCATCAGGATTTGAACTTGTGCTCTGTTAATGAACAGTTTCATGCCTGTAGGGCCGTGTACCCTTTTTTTTTTTTTTTTTTGGTTTTAATTCCAGGGTGTAGTAGAGGGTGGATGCCAGGCCTCAGGAGGTGCCCGTAGTACTCATCCGTTGGGAGGTCAGATGGATTGCGAGGACCCGGAGGAGTCATGCAATGACTTGCTGTTTTCTGGTCGCCTGTAGCCTCTCTCTGTCGAGGCTGTACCATAGGTAGGACAGATTTGCAATTTTGTTTGGCTGAGGGCTAACCGAGTGACCTGCCTGTAAGGAAAATTCGTGAGGGACATATCTGTAAATACGGGAAAATACAGGCCCATACTAACTGAATTTCCTACAGCTAACCTAACTGCGAATAGCAGGCCCGGGCTACCCCTAAGACAGACACGCCCTACAGGCCTATGCTGATAGATGGTGTCGTGCGAAATGCCCTTACAAGGGTATTTGGCGTGTCTTCTGCAAGTCGCACTAGTGCAGCCTCGTCCGCTCGACGGCGCGCGTACGGGAGGAAGTTTAGGCCCTCGCCAGGGTGAGCGGCGCGCACGGGGGTATCGGCGGCAAGGTGCAACCATGAGCGGCATAGATGTGCACGACATGAGTGTGCGCGGCATCGCAGGCCAGCGAGACGTGCGGCCCCTCGCCCCTTATGATTTTTGTGTTCCCTAGCGTTTGTTTTTATTTTTTCATTATTATTATTTTTTCTACTTTTTTTTTTTTTTTTTTTTTTTTTTGGCTTGGTGATCGGTTTCGAGACGTTGACGGGCCTGGCTCAGCTGCTACATAGCCGGGCACGAGTAGCCGTCATGACAGACGAGGACCTTGACTCCTTGAGCACGCGTCTTCGGGTGGCGTGCAGATGTACAGTCCGCCCCCACCATCTACTCTGAGAGGTTTGAGTGTGACTGTGCCATTGGGGCCTGACAGGCGGGACTGTGGCCTGGGCACAGACGGCCCGGGGCACTGTCGAGAGGCCGCAGCAGGCGTTCACATGGGACCCCTCCCCATCTCGATCGTCGAAGTTCTTAATTGAATATTTGCTAGTACCACCAAGGCCGGAGTCGGGACCCGCGGGATGGAGGAATAGGTCGGGGCAGCTGTGGCCAGGGGATAGGCTCCCCGCGAACTATGTCTGCAATGAGAGGTTTGAAGAGGAGCGTGGCTTTGGGACCCGAAAGATGGTGAACTATGCCATGAGCACAGTGGGCCAGGGGCACCAAGACAGAGCGTTGCAGCCTGCCGTGCAGATCGTCCGTTGGACTTGGGTACAGGGGCGAGAGACTAATCAAAACCGTCTAATGGTGATCCCATTCGGAGGTCCCGCCCACGGTTGCCAGGCCTGCTCGGCACATTGACTGCGCTGAGCACTGTCGGACCACTGCCTGTTGGAGGCTGCGTTAGAAGAAGAAGAAGAAGAAGAAGAAGAAGAAGAAGAAGAAGAAGAAGAAGAATTGTCGGCCAACAGTCTCTCGTATGAGTCAGGATAGAAGAATACACCAAAATAAATCCTGATCACACGCAATAAATTGAACATAGTCGGAGTACACAGAAGGAACAAAAAGCTCGAAAGGAAAGCATATTAAGGCTTATACCCAAACCCAAATCCACCATATCTATCCTCAAACCAAAGCGGCCATCCCTCAACGCGTTTCTGCTACCCCG